CTCTTTTTTGGTCGTGATTAAGCAAAACAATGTTCTTCGTTTTCTTTTGCATTCACATCGGTTGTCCCCCTTAAAATCACCTTCGCATGGTGGGAGGGATCAAACGCTTCCATCTCGTGGTGAGAAAGACGTTCTTCGGCCCGGAAAAGCTCCGGCCCATGCGTTTGGACCGAATGGGATCCCATCCGCCGGCAGCACTGGGCCAGGGGCCGGTCATCGGGACCTGGGCGAGGCCGGATCCGCGCGCCGTGCGCTCGCGCCTCCGCGGTGCGCTTACGGTGTGGATGCGGACCCAAGCACCATCCACATCCGAAACGGGGTTGGAAGAGGTGATCATAGGGTGGAAGGTGTAGAGAAGTGTAGCCTCCTTCTGTTGCATGTTCTCATGACAATGGAGGACCCAACCTGTTCGCAGTAGAGGATGCTTCACGCAAAAGAATCCAGAAAATGCTAGTAGTAACTGGTGCCACGCTAGTAGTAACAAGAAGCTATTAGAAACAAGTGCATCGCTACTAGCTGTATTCCTCCTCCGTGACTCGACGGTATCCTCTACGGTCGCACGACCGGCACGCGCTGGTTCCGGCTCGACACCCGAGCCGCTCAAAAGGGGGTCAAACCAAGGTCTTCATTCACCCCAACATCCTGTTCACCGATGTTCGCAGAGAAAAGATGGTTTGACCGGAACTAGAAAAGTTCCACTCAGTGGGTCTTAGGACGTTGATGGAAGTCGATAAGCCTGCAACACCCCATATCGCCATATATATATATATATATGCATTCTGCTCCTTTAGCCCGTTTCCGGGGTCTGAGTGGAACTCTGAACGAACTACAGATTCTCCAGCAACATCTCCGTGAACCAAGTCACCTCAATGCAGACCGTTGATTAAAGGAAAACAACACAGACATGAAAAAGCATGAACATATTAAGCATTACAAATATTTGTCAATCATTATATAGATTCTTTACGTTTCTTTACCTTTCTTTCGAATCCCGGGGGACTATAAAGAGAACATACCTTCATCGCCCAGCTCATCGCCTCTCCCTTTTGACTCGGCACATCTCTGGTGCTCTGACCAGCGGCTTCTTCGACGCCCCGGCTGGCCAAAGGGTCCAACGATGTAGGATGTAGGAGGTCCGAATGCAGCCCCCCCGAGAAGATGGATTCTAAAAACCCTCATCATATGAATCATATACATGTCGGTTCTTGATGATGAGACTATCATGAAAAGTGTAGCTGATCAAAGATTCGGACCCTTCGGCACAGGCGGGACCTCAAGTTGAGGCGGCTCAGCTGAGGCTTCAGAAAGCACCTCCTTCATAGCTGTTGATTGGTAATGCCTCCATCTACATGTTCAAAGTGATTGTGTCATTATAGTTTCCATTTTTATAAGGTGCATGTACAGGCTACTGGCACAGCAAGAAGTGCAAAAGTGCATCTGTTGTGTTTGTTGAGGCTGAGTCTCAGAATCGGAGGGCCTACACCCATTAGCGCCAAAAACACCAAAAACACTGTCTGTTCAACCATTTTTAGACCAAAAGACATGGAGATGTTCAATCCGATTCGAGATGATGTTCTTCAGGACCCTGGACGAACCTGTTCCAATTCGTTCGAAGTCCGGGACATCTGAAGTCTTCGCCCGAGCGATCTGTCACCAAGTCGTCACCCTCAGATTCTCCAGCTCCAAGCGCAGCCACACAGGCGCAAGCGAAACAGCCAAACGAGGACCACCGCATGGACGCAGCCAGGTGCAAGGCCTGGAGCATCGCTGTGACGTGCATGGAGCGTGGGCGCCAGGTGCGCCAGGGATCTGCCCATAAGTCTTGGATGTTCTAAGATGATGGGAGCCCCGTTCGGTTCGCGTCCGATTTTGTTCGTTCGTAGCGATGCCCTTTGCTCCTAGTAGCTTCTTGCTCCGTTCGTAGCAATGCCAGGAGCCCCTAGTAGCGTCCTTGCTGCTAGTAAGATGATGGGAGATGGATGGATGTAGAATGATGTAGATCTTGGGATGCAGGAGAATGTTTAACTATGCCCAGCTTCTATTTACAAGGTTGTGGTTGGGGAGCGGGGTCCAGTTGGACTTCGGGTGTCATCAATGGCAAGAATTACCGTGTGTTTGGAACTAACATGGAAGTACAAAATGGCCCTTGGAAGGCCATGTTCCTCTACAACCAGTGGGTTTTCCACTTCCATGTTAATTAATTCCAGCCAGGGAGGGTATAGCTCTTGAACAGTTGGAATACCGATTTGGTCTGATTCGAGTCCAAACCAACCAAGTTCGGCTTCGCTGCTGAAACAGGAGGTGAACATAATTTGGGTCTGTCCCATTACCATATTCTCAGTGAATGATGATGGGGCCTGCAACCAGCAGGCCGACATCACTAAAAGAGTGATGTTCTTGAATACCGACGGCTCTACAGGTTTCCTACGACAGGATCCAACCTATAGTGGAGCTATGTCTGAATGATATGAGAGGATACGTGGAATATGGGGTGGATCAACCTAGGAGAGGCGGCATTTGTTGGGGGGGGGTAAGGAGTGGCAATGACCTGCAACTCTGTAATTGAATCATTTCTCTCCAAACAACCTCAAAGCAAACATGGAGGTGAAGTGGAGAGTGGCCGCAGTGACCATCTTCGGAACATCACTTTCCTCTCTGGGCCCTTCTTTTGGACGGTTTCCGTCCGGCACGTGGAACCCCCGGCGGGTTCCCCCCTCGCTGCGTCGCGGCCACGTTCCCGGCGCTCGAAACAGCCCAGCCTGCAGAGCCGCTGTAGTTTGGACCCATGTCCCAAGAGGTCTCAAAGGTCGACCGCCGGCCCTCCTGGAAGACATCCTGATGCATCCGATCACAACCCATCGTCCATCGTCCGAGTTGACGAAGGTATCATCTTAAACAAAAACGAACATGTCACCCGAGTTGACTCGTTGATTCACCGGTTGGCGTGGCCCATCCTCCGGACACTCAAAAGCGAATCATATTAGGGAGGGTGTGTTGACAGCCGAATCCCAGCAGAAACTGAGCAGTCATGAGCAGTCACTGAATGTTTGTTGCCCAAATGGTGCAACCGAAACCAATCCAACGTTCCAGCTGCTTGAAACGAAGCTTTACAGGGCAACCCTGTTCAGCCAAGGACGGGTCAAAGAGCCCACGACCAACGGGTTGATCGACCAGGTAGGAAGGTCCAAAAAAACAAAACAATTGGGTAGTACATGGTAGTACTTGATACCCTACAGGTCAGTGAACCACCTCATTTTACTGATAGACACACGACGAAAAAAAGAGTGGTCTTCAGGAGCAGGTTAAACAGTCTGTGGACCAGCTAGGGGAATATGCCACCGGATTTGCTGATCAGTTACTTGGATTTGCTGAAGGAACCAGGAAAAAAATAAAGAATATTCATATTCCCCAGAGGAGGATTTACTGACAGGGAACATTTATCAGAGATACCCTTTTAGCAAAACCATGGTTAGTGGTAACATGTGGTCACCCAAGTTCACGCACCAAGTCTGGTCTTCAGATGTGTTCAGCACTTCCCTCCAAAACGTGCCACAGGCTGGACCCCGGAGGCAACATGCCTCCCCCACTCAAAGCACCCGAACTCGATGGAGCATTTGGGGTACCATAGTAGGTCCAAACTTTCTACACACATTCGGATTCATCCTTCCTAACACCACATGCAATAAAGATCCATCTATTCTGGCGGTGCTACAAACAATCTACCAATCATTGTCTTTCTGGGCTCGAACCAACGCGCCCCAAACCTCACCAATTCCGGCCATGCCACGTACTCCCGCATCGGCTCGCCCGTGCCGTTGGCCAGGCGCCGGTGCGCCTTGATGGGCGGCGTGGCCTCACGCTCCAACTCCCCGGGACGGATGAAGGGATGCATCCTCAGACGTGGCTCCGGCGCTTCAATCCTTCCGGTCCGGTCGCGGCGGTCGGACCGGTGGCACCGGTGGCACCGATGTTGGGCTCGGTACCGATGGCGTTCCCTCACGTGGACCGGTCGGGCCATGGTCGGAGCTCCCTATGAGTCGGCGCGTTCGGGCGAACTGTTCAATGCCAGCGGCATGTTTACTTGGATCAACCGGATGGAGAGAGGGATGATGTGGGATGGCTTGGGATCTGGGTCGAGAGCCAGTGGTTGTGCATATATAGGATCCATTTGCCCTTAAGAAATTGGTGAAGTACAGAGCTTACAGGGATGGAACACAGGGATTGAGGGGTTGGCTCTGACCCCTACCTCTGAACTCACGGGCGGCCTCCAAAATCCCAAGATCGAACTAGTAACTAGTAACTTCTTGTTACTATAGTAGTAAGGCCAGGAGCTACTAGTAGCTTCTTGTTCCAATGACATCACGGGCCAATGCCAAACGATTTCGACTCTCTTCAGTGCCACCTGGGGACGCAATCACATCATGCGTCCAATCACAGAGCTGTTGCTGATCCTCGAACCTCTGACCGAAGAGCGTTCGGCTCGGCTCGAGAGATGTTCGGCAAGCCATGCCGACCCCCAGGTGTCCACTGTGGGGGAAGAGAAAAGATCGGACACCCCACTGAACCAGCCATTGCTTTTTCCCTTTTTTGGGGGTTGAAATGGAAAGTTCATGGAAAATGCAGACCCAAATCGGATGATTTGGACTCCTTTCCTGACTAATATACCTATTAAAATGAACTAGTGACTAATAATTGAACATATATGAAGCGAACTTTCCACCTGTGGGATTTGAGAAGGGAAACCAATGGGCCCCAAGGTTTAAGGTCGTCCACTGCCTGGCCCGAGAAGAAACATTCCAGCTATCTGCTATCTCACTAGGCTAGGGCCGCCTTGGTCCCAACCCGGAAGGGGCTACTGGCACGGACCTACTCCCCCAGCTTGAGGACAATCGTAAGGATGACCAGCCAAACCCCCCCGTCCCAGGACCAAGCTCTCGCAGCCACATGCGCACCAACTACCGCAACCAACTACCGCAGACTCGACTCCGTGACCATTTTCCTCACAGGAACACGCGGTTTCTTCGGGCCGTTTTCTTCGGGCCGTGGTGCATGTGCAAATACTCCAAGGGCCATCGAGAGCGTATCGCCAACGACGAGTCCAAGATGGCCTCGAAGAGCTCTCGGGCTTCACGGCCTGACTGGCAGCTGGACGGCCATGCGGAGTAGGTAGACGGTCCCAGTGTTCCGGAGAAAAACGTGGACTTGTATGTATTGGAATCAGGAGACCCCAAAAAAAAAGCCATTGGACCGGGGGGCTCTCCCTATTTCAACCATACACACGGCTATTCTTACTCATTCTGAATCATTCTCAAAACATGTGTCTTTCAGCCACTGAGCTTGTACCAACCTAACCAATGCTGGACAGCGGAATTCCCTGGTCCATGTCACGTAGGATGTTTTAGTGAAGGTCTGTACGGTATTTGTTTGCGTCTGGACTGGACAGACTACCTTCGATATCATCAAAAGAATTGCCTCAAGACCAAACTCGAGCCCCAAAGTTCGTCCTCTCATCCTCAGTTCCTCCTCTCCCATCTTTTCCTCCCACCCATCCTGGACTGATCTCTCTCCAAGGCGCCAAAGTCTTGACACTCGGTCCAAAGCTCCACGCAGTTGCCCTGTGCCCATCGGTCGACGGAGGTGCGGGGAGACGACATGGACATCTCGTGGACACGGTTGGAAGAACAAAGAGCATCGCATCTGAACGAAAGGAGAGGGAGAGGATGGGAGAGGATGGGAGAGGGAGGTTTGACTGAAACTCATCGGGTTTTGACCACATCTGGAGGGCTTTGACACTGCTTTGCCGCATGGGTTTGGACCCTCCAAGCTTTCAGGTCGATGAAGCTAGACTCTAATCTTCCAGGTCGGCTTCGTCGAGGCTCCGACGATCTTCCGGATCGGACCACACCCAGGGCCGCGTGAATGGCCCTGCGGCGCCTCTGGAATGAGAACCCTCAAGAGTTTCTCCTTCTCAATGTGGACCTCCTGCTTCCAGTGCGCATCACACGCAAAGCAAATCATGCCTCGAGCAGTGGGGCGTTTTTGCACGCGAGCGTGCGTGGAACTATGGGTAGGCTCACATGCATGGAGCCACACCAAGCGGGGCCAGTACTCCCCCAAAAAATATGGTTAATGTAGACCTTAGACTCTTGATTAATAAGACCCCCGTATAAAGAGGATTTCCAATTCAACTGGGTGGGTTTATTAATCAAGAGACTACATTAAAGGATGTGAAAGGTGATCCACTGACTGGGTAGAATCCGCTGGGACGTGCAGCGGATTCGAGCTTTCAACCCAGTGACCAGCGGTGTAGAGCAGGAGGGAGGACATGCAGCGGCCATGTCCCGCAGCAGGATCAAGGACCTTCCTGAAGCCGTTGCAGATTACGCATGTCCTTCCAGCAGGAAGTGTTGGATGCCAGCATATGCCAGCTGCCACATATCTGTGCGGGCAGAAAAGTGATCCCGGAAAGTATAGGTACAGTACAGAAACGGATGAGCATTAATTCTCGTATTGTCCACTTGGTTGTGGATTGACACCTTTTGTAACATGTACCAATAATATGAATATGGCCGCCCTAATTTGCAATTTCATTGAGATGTCAGGGGCAACCTAAATCTGGTCACCGACAGCTCCAGAAACAGTACAGGCTACGTAGGCTCCTCAAGTGTTTGAGGTTCTTCTTTGCAACCTGGATGAAGAAATCGACTTTTATTGATCGGTTGACAAGGGCGACAAACACTCACAGCATGGCGTCTTGCCTGAAAAATCAGTGAAGCGGCACGATGGCGAAGCAATTCCTTTGCAAACGTTGTGACCATGCCTTCACCCACATTCCACCGAGGTGGTCTTTCCATGTTTTCGAGCAAATCATGTTCAACGTGCTCAACTTCGTGTTATATAAGTCTCGAGTCTACTAGTCAAAAAACGGTTTGTTCTAGCTCTAGTCACTAGTCTAGTGCTTTATGAATAGACAAAAGCGGCACATCCCCCCACGTGGCTGGCCCAGAGTCTCGTACTTTTGGATGGCCACCTGAAACTGCCTCCGGTCCTGCCGAAGCAGGAAACCCAGCAGAAACGCAAACCGGGCCAGGAACCTTTGAGCCCAACCTCCTGCACTCATCTCCATCTCTTCCTCTCCGTCTCCGCCCCCCAGTCACCGGCGTGCAGGGCACCCACGCCGCGTGCGACGCGGCGGCGTGGCGTGGCATAAGCGCTCCTCCTCGCTGGCGGCCCGGAAGGCAGGATCGTCCTTGACCTCCAGGGTGGCCTCCTTCGCCAGCTTCACCCAAGCGATCTTGCCTCCACCCAGCCGTGGAGGGCCGGTTGGTCATGGCGCGGTTGGCTTGGCTTAGCTGTTTTGGGAGATGGGGGATCCAGGCCATGCAGGGCAGACACCCGATCGCCGCTGGCTGGGACTGGTCGATGCTCCGAAGGAAAAGGGGTCGAACTGGGAGGTTTCTATAACTACCTGGATCTATTATAGAATCCATTAGAATCCATTATAGACTGGTTGGTGGATGAATAGAGGGGATACACCCAAGTGACGAACCAACAGGACTTGTCGAGAAGCCGAGAAACAGCTGGTCGATCTGTCAACCGAGAAGATTGCCAGAGCTGGACTTTGGAAGATTGTCCTTCAATGGCTAATCCATTGTATCTTGTCGAATCCAACTGTCTGGCTTGATTCAATCCAAGCTCTGGAATCTCTCTGACCCGTGGACTAAGTCCAGATGCATCCCGCATCTGGCAGAAGAAAGGTCCCATAAGTCAATCCGTCACCGTCGCGAGAGGCCGCTAGAGGCCCGGCGGCGGAAGGAAAGGAGAACGGACGTCGGAACGTCGAGTCGTTCGCTTCGGCCCAGATTGGCCGGTTGAGCTCCCGGCCTTTGAAGATCTGCTTCCAGTAGGCGAAGTGCAGCGCTTGCTCATGTTCCAAGCCACTCTGACAGCACGTCACCTCACAACCACGTGGACCAGATCTCACCAACCGCGGTCACCTTCGCGAATTCAGGTGCGAATGGAAACACCACATGAAATGGCAGACGGGCTAGCTGCTGTACCCATGTTGAAGAGTTCCCTTGACATTCCCAAGTACTGGTATGGAACACAAAACATCACAAAACAAAGAAAATCAGTGCTGAATGATGTAAGATATTGTAAGATTCTGTCCATCTACCAGCTGGCGCCAGCTGGATTGGGCCACATATTTAATATGAACGGACGCCATAGTGAGTGTGTCAGAGAACACTTAACATTAGAAACACCCAGAAACACCCAGAAGCCAGTCCAGATCGGCCCAAGGGTTTTCGCTTCACTCGGATGTCTGGACAATCTGCGCAGGGTGGCAACCCCTTTCGACATCTCGCTCAGCTATCTGCTGACTGGTGCAACGAAGGCCGGGAATGAAGGAATGATCCTCTATATCCCCGTACTACCAGGAGCTTCCAACAGATGGTTTTTCGGACACCCCATTCACCTTTAAGAGGCTATCTATATATAGACACCTCTTCTGTCTGGTGCTGGTACAGATTCCTTAGGATGCATTCCCTCATTCCCTACTAATTGCTATAACCAAATAGTCTGGGGCTGGTCCAGCTTCGAATCGCGCGCCATCTCGCCTGGCCGTTGTATGCCGGGCAAAGTTCCAGATTGCTTGCCCGCGCCGGTGTCTCCCGCAGCGAGCGCTGGCTACTCTCGGCATTGAACCAATGGGTCTCGAAGAGCAAGTTGCGACAGCTCAAGTCCTGCGGTGAAGGAGACCCCCTTTTAAGAGTTTCACAGTAGACCTCAGTGGTTGGACGAAGATTCACCCTGGCAGCGAATGCTCAGGGGGGCTAAGCCCAAAAGAAGAACAAATCATGGTTTTGCAAGGCCCAAGTGCACCGAGTGACTCTTGCACGCAAGGATGTGGGGGTGATGGGGAGAGCACAAGGTCGTTCAGAAAGTCAGCGAAAAACAAATATCTCCTCGGAAATGGGAGTGCGTCAGAAAAAGGAGTCTTCAAACTTAATGCAACTTGTAATAGTAGTGCAACATTCCATAGGCTGCTATGGCGTGGTCGTGAGAAAGGGAGTCCCATGTTGCCCATGTTGCTGTGTTTTGGAGTTCCTCAGGGGTTCAGTTTCAAGAGTATTTCTGTGGAAGTGTGTGAGGCTTTCAGTGCGTGTTTTTCATGCGTTCCTCCCCAATATAACTGCGCTTCCATGGAACCTACCTAGCCCAAAAAAGACTTCCACCATGCCGTATTTGCACTCCTCAAGTGCTGCCACTGTCTTTCAGACCCATGTCCATCCCTTCAAAAACCCCTGTCCCTCTCCTCGGCAGCACTGCCCAGCAGAAGCCACGCACTCGCGTAACGCGTCCACATGGGCGACGCAGTTCGAGGTGCTCCCAGCCGAGCCGTGCGGTTAGGTATGGTGTTGTCACCAGTGTCACAGGTGTCACCCAGTTCCAGGTTGGGGAAACACCAAGCACTGATGGGTTTGGATGGGTTTGGAGGGGTGACACCAAGCACAGAGAGCGCTCCCCATGCGTGTGCACGGGCTTGTGACGTGCCGAGGCGTCATGAGAGGGTAATTGAATGAGTTTCACTCAGGGTCGTGGGTTGCTTGAGGCTGCACTCCGAACAATCATGTTTGTTCCAGAAAGGGTATCCCTGTTGCTAGTGCATCGCTACTAGTAACAAGTGCCTTACTAGTAGTAACAA